GCGAAGACAACAGGACCTGTGCTATCGATTTTAACACTCGTAATAAAGGGACTAAAATATTATGGCTTTGGTGTACAGATAGTATCGGTCCGACAAACAATAATTTGTTGATCAGGTTTATAACGTATGCCAATCACCCCCTGAAGGCGATCGGTTTAAATCAAGTCTATCTCATTAAACTCCAGTACTGCGGACACCCGTCTGTCCCTCTATTGACTAAATATGATAGCCAACAGATTATATGCGATCCTGAAGTGGCCTACGATATAAACTCCGTTCGCAACAAATCGGATCATATTTTGTCAGATTTATACGACCAGTCAATGAACACCGATTGTGTGGACAACGAGTATTGGTCCGGACGTCCAAAATGTGTGCCCAAAATGTTTTGCAAATTACAGTTCAATAATGAGTCCGAAGAGATTAGTTTTGTCAAAAACGCCTATATATTCAACAAAAGCAAATGGTATGCCATCGAAGGCACAGCCGTTCACTACAACTGTAAAACTAGTTACGAGTTTACGGATAAATCCGTGCGGATGTGTGGATACAACTCGACGTGGGATCAGACGACACCTATTTGTCAGGCAATTGGTTTCAGAGATGGTCCGCAAAGTATGTAATTTACGAATATATTGTATTGCTTTTTAAAACAAACAAATTAATGTTAGTAGAAATTATTGACTTTTAAACTTTTCCTTCAGGTCAGTTCTTGACTTCAAGTGTTATGATTGCGGTAATTATTATTGTGATTTTAATAGTAATAATAGTGATTGCATTAGTGGTGACTATAATAGTGAGGAAAAGGCGCATAAGAAATAAGAGGATAAACACTAAACCTAACCATGAAATCAATAGTAAAGAACTAGATGATTATGACGACATTTATCACATCGAAGAATGCGAAGTATATACGGAACCGTCATATTGTGATTCAACTAGATACGAAACTATATATAACCCTCGTCCTAATGTTAAAGCCCAAACCAATGCCCCAATTGTGCCCTATTATCTGAAAATCAAGTCCAGTGATGAAGAATACTCCGAATATATGTTTATGACTTCTAAAAAATCATAAACTTAAATATTATTTTGATAAATGAAGGCCTATATTGAGGTAAAATACATTTTATTTTATTGCTCTGTTACAAGAGTTAATTAAATATTTGTTTTATTATAATAATAATCTCAAACATTAATTTAAATTTAAATGAAAATTAACTAAAATACTGGTAATCCTATTAATTAATTGTGCAACCAACATTGTTCAAGTATCAAACAGATTGAGTGCATTTACTATAATAAATGTTTATAAGAATTGTTCACTTAATTTGTTAGTCAATTGCCTTAAGAATATCCGTTTTGTTTGTGTGGTTGTTGTGATCCAACTGTGGATTGTGGTCGTCGACGATATTTAACAGAACCTTCTTGAATGACAACACGTGATCGTATGTCTTGGAATTGTTCACCAGTTTGTCCATAAGTTTCAATGGATCTGATAAGTGATATGAAGTGAATTTAGGTTCAGTGGTTATTTAAAATGTCAAATAATTACATTGTTTAATTAACATGTTATATTTTTAAAAATGCATTACCAAATACTGTATAATCAAATATTTGTTGTCATTGAAATATAATAGTGTCTTAAATATTATACATAATTGAATTGTTATTTAAACTAAAAAAGTGACAAAAATCTCACTATAATTCACAATTCAAAGTGCTTTACACATAAAATTAAATAAATAAACGGAATAGTTAATTAACGTCTAAAATACCAAACAAAGTAATGTCATAATTAAATACACATAACATTAACACATAAATATTTGTAACCCAAACCCAACATTAATTTTATTGTTATTTTCATTAATAAATTTTATGTAAATTTATTGCATTTTATTCATAAGTAGGCAATAATTCTATAATTTGTTTAACATTTTGTGCAATAAATTCATGAATAAAATAAACATATAATTAATGTTTTAATTAAAAAAGTAGCAAAAAATACCTTCAAAGTTATGTGACTTTGACGGCGGTTTGATATACCGATCGCGCCATCGCTTCTTGTAATGACTGACACGGATCTGATTGCGGGCCGTATTCTGCACTTCAATCGCGTATTTAAGTGCATTGATTTCGTTGATTGTCCACAGATATAGCCGTAACTGTGTGTCCATATTAATCAACAGGTCCTCCATTCTTCCGCTCTTCTCCATCAACAGAGACGACAATGAGATCATTGTTTTCACCACAAAAAAAGTCACAACTTTTTATTTATTAGACTATTTTGTAACAAATTCATGTGACAGTTATTCGCCAAACAAATGAACAATTTATTGCATTTCTCTGTTTAAATGACTTTTAATATTCCTATAGTTTTATTCACTGACGAGAAGAATATATCGATAAATATGTGGTGAAGACAACAGCTATTCGTGCGGAATATTAAATAAGACTTAACTGTCATCTGATATGTATTATTGCCTCTCAAATGATTATATAAATACTCTCTCTGTATATGTATTTATATCATATATTTTTAACAAAAAATAAGTTTACAACGATTTATAAGATGTATTATTGAAGCGAATAATATATATTAGATATCAATAGACAATAAAATGTTGTATTATTTTTT